GGGGGGGCAATGCAGCACCAAGACCACTATGATTGCTAAGCAAGATTGGAGAGAGACGAGAGCCTTCCCCCAGGACCCTGAGAAAGCCTCCCCCTAGAGTCCGTCCCCTGAATTTGGACTTCTAGCCTCCTAACTGGTGAGACAATAAATTTCTGTCCACTAAAACCACCCGCATGTAGGGTTTCCATTATGAACACACTGGATATCTCAGACAGTCACCTGCATTCACATTTGGGGCCACGGATGGCCTTCCCAAAGGTGAGCCACCACATGGAAGGCACCCGCTGCCTGAGTGTGGTTGGTGTGAGTGCACACCAGGCTCACACACGTGCATATGGACGGGCCTCTCTGGGTCAGCCAATAAATTGACCCACTTACATTAGCTGGAAACTGCTTACGTAAGTCCTGAGTGCTTGTACCCACGAACTCCAAGTGGCATAGGTGCCATTAACCTCAGCTACCTTGTCTCTTGGTGCAGGTGCAGAGAGCCTCATGGAAATGCAGGCACTTGCTCACAGAAGAGGGAAATGCAGGGGGGGCGGGGGGCAGCCAGCATCAGAGAATGATATCCAGAGGTTCATGGCTCGGAGCCCCACGCACCAGCAGGTATGGCTGCCACCGACAGAGGCCCCGGGAAGCGTTTCTACTCCAAAGAATCCGTGAATTGGGGGATGGGTCCAATGTTTGCAGACCACTCTGGAACCGCTGGAAAACCTGACGTCAAGGGTGACAGATCATTTGGAAGCAAAAACAAAGCCGTCCAGGGAGTCAGCGCCTCTGGTAAACGCTTTGATGGGGGAAAGACAAAAAGGTGCTGCCTTTCTCCTGCCCCGAGCACTTCATTCCAACCGGACTGGAGAGGAGGGGTCAGGAGAGGGAGGGCTTCCTCTGTGTGCCTGGTGCTTCCCAGGGCTGCTAACGACAAGGTCAGCCGTTCAAAACCACCACTGCTCAGTAAGAGAAAGCTGAGGCTTTGTGCCCCTGTAAAGACTGACTGGTGGCAGAATCATCCAGAAAAGGACCTCAGTAATGGTTGTGCAACAGGAAGAGAGTGATCGCTGGCCCTGAATTGTACCTGTAGGAGGTGTGGAGCTGGAGAATGCGCCGTAGTGTACCTTTTTGCTACAATTATAAAAAAAAATAACTACGTGAATAACAATGGGCGCCCGGAAGAAGAAAATGTTCTGGAATGTGCTGTAGATGGTACAACTCTTCTTGATATGACTGAATTATGGACTTGTACGACATCTGGGGAAGTGCCTATGCAGCGGTTAACATGAATACATAAGTAAAAGACTCCAGCCTCGGAAACAAGCCCACAGGGTGGCTCCGCTCTGTCCTGCAAGGACGCTGGGAGTCCATCGACTCCTTTTCCCGGCACCTCCTTCGGGAGGCGGGGATTCTGCTTCTGCGTCTCATCCAGGAGCCTGAGGCTCACGGTGTGGTGTCCACGCCATCTCAGCCATCTCAGCACCGCTGGGCGCAGTCAGGGTTTGGGGCGAGTCAGAGCCACTCTGAAACTCCCTCTCAGGACAATTTGCACATTTCTCCATGGGCACTTGGAAAATGCGTTTCCCTGGGGAGGCCAGGGCACAAGCCTACAAGTCACTTGTCTCTCTAGCTTGAAGGGCATTTTTGGCCCCTGCTGCCCCATGAATGGAGAGGTCAGTGTCATGGTCAAAGTTATCTGAGCATTTACTCATTCTCTAAACAGAGCGATCAAACCGCAGTGCAGTTCCTGTGCACGTCTCAGCTTACCTGATACTTTCTGTTCACGTCAATGAGGGTTGTCAGTTCTTGTGAGTTAATATTAGTCTTCATGACACAGGGACACAGCATGCTGCAGAGCAAGCCAGAGATAGCCCCCTAAAACCACTGATCTGAATGCGTGCTACAGAAACATTGAACGGGATAGTTTTTAACTCGGGGGAGGCAGGCCCTAAGCTACCAGGCTGGGAGTTTGGGAAGGGTCTCACTGGCAGGCTAATCTGTTGACTGTATCGGGGAAGCTGAAGAAAGTGCCCAGATCTGGATTCACTCTCGCAAACAAAGCAGTTCTTCTTTCTCCTGACGTCTGCAGGAGTAAGTTTTGGGGAGCCCACATTCCTTGCGGCTGTTGAGGGTCACACCATGGAGAGGAGCCTTGTGCCTTTGAAACACCAGTGGCAAACACGGGTCACGGTTCCCGTGCACGGAGTCTCTGTGCCCAGAGCTCGGTAGCACTAGCCGGCTCACCCCACAGCCATCCTCCCCCGTCTCTGGATGAGAACGCACTGGGGCTCCGAGCAGGTCGGAGCTTTCTCAAGGCCACAAGAAGGCTGAGTGTAGAAGCCGGGACTTGAACTCCAGTTGGCCTTGCTCTGCGCCGGGTTGCTGCGGGCTGCTGTGTAGTGGATTCTGACCCTCGCAGGCCTGGGCTGAGACGGCCCTGGGCCCCCTTGAGCTCCTGAGAAGCAGGTGGACGGGCTTGGATTCCCAGACCCTGCGGGTGGGTTTCCACCACCAACCGTTCTTTCTGCTCACAGCCGAGCACAAACCTCCCGGCGCTCGTGCCCTCTGCGGCAGACTTCTCACAGGGACCACCCTGACTGCGGGCGCACTTACAGTCTAGGCTTTGGGTGCTGGGGCATGGCTGGTCATGGAGTCAGCCCTGCCGAGGGAAGAACAACCACCTGAGGGCCTGTATGTGTGTGCCTGTATGTATATATGTGTGTGTGTTTGTCCGTGTATGTGTGTGCATGTGTGTATGTATGTGTTTGTCCATGTGTGTGTGCATGTGTGTATGTGGGTGTGCCTGTATGTGTGTGTGTGTCCGTGTACGTGAGTGTGCATATGTATTTGCATATGTATGCATGCGTGTGTATGTATGCGTGCATGTATGTGTCTATGCATGATATGTGTGTCTGTGTGTATGCATATGTATCTCTGTGTGTTTGTGTGTATGCATGTGTGCGTGCACATGTGTGTGCATGACCTATGTGTGTGCACACGTGTTTATGGGTGTGTGCATGTGTGTGTATGCACGTGCGCACCCTCACACAGCACAGGCAGAGGGGGAGGGCAGGCAAGGTGACCTGAGCCGGCCTCACCCTGACACTTAGGGTGTGGGGCTGTTTCGGTTCTGAGAACAGACCTGGCAAAGGCCTCCTCAGGACCTTGAGCCTCGATGGTCTACAGGGTCCCATCCTGCTCACTGGTGACAGCCTTCCTCAGCCGGCGGCTCTGCACCCCAGGGGCACAGGGGCTGGAGGAAGTGGGAGCGAGGGATGAGTCAGCAGCTGAGAACAGCTCGGCCAGAAGCCAGCTGTTGCATTGGCCCTCGTCCTCCGGGCTGTGTCTCCGATCCTGCTCTGCCCCGGAAGCCTTCCCCAGGGCCCTGGGCAGCCTGGCCCCCAGGGGAGCTTTGGCATGGGTCTTCAGGGGAGCAGGCGAGAACACACCTGGCCCTTTGTGAATCGCTCATTCAGTCATTCAACAAACAGCTGCGGGGCCCTCCACTGTGCTGCTGGCAGGGGCTGACTTCGAGGGCCCAGGTTGTGGGGAGAGAGGCTCGGAGCAGTGGCTGTGACATGTGCTCAGGGTTGGGGAGGGGAGAGGGGGGAGGAGGCAGGACACCACCAACAGGGGCACGGGGCTGGGTTTGAGCAGGACCTGCAGAAAGGCCTGCTGGGGGCATCAAAAGCAGTCTTATACTTGAGAGTGAGAGACCTGTGTATGCTGAGGGGAAGCCATCTCTATGTGGCTCTGACAGCTGAGGGATGACAGAGGCCTCTCAGAGGTTCTCCCAGGACCGGGCCTCTCTCTTCTCTGGGGAAGACACTGTCCCCTGGGCCCTGCTCCTGTAGATTGGACCTCCACTCACCTGACAAGGGACTGCAATGCTCCTTTGTCAGTGCCCAGCCCAGGACACCCACAGCCCTCAGGGTCCCTCGCCAGGCCATGCTGCCCAGAGAGGGCGCTGAGGCTCCAGGCACACTCTAAAGCAGGTCCTGGCAGAAGCCTGGCACGGCCCACATCACACCCACGCTACTGGACTCCATTCCTTTCTCTGCAGAGGCAAAGGTGCCATGGGGCCCCCGGGACTCAGAAGCAAGGTTGGGGTTTGCAGACGCACACCTTTAGAGGACAGGTAGCTGAGGTACCTCTTGGGGACACAAAACCCATGGGGTGTCCTCTGTCTTTGCAGGTAAGAAACTGGGGTGGTCTCAGGATTTCTCACACTCTACCCTATGGCTTTCTAACTCCTCGGGGTCACTCTTTAGGAAGCCACCCTCACCCCCACCCCCCGCCCTAACCTTTGGGAGTCGGGGAAGGAGATGTCCATCTTACCTGATGATCAGCTTTGGACATTTGCTAATAGTCTGGTACAGCTCCCTCAGGCCAATGATCTCCAATATCACCACCAGGTTCACAAATGCCCTGGGAACCTGAGGAAAGGCAGCGTCAGGCCCGAGAGGACGGTCCCTGGAGGAGCCAGCTGCAGGCTCTCATCTGGTCTGGGGCGTGCTCCTCTTACTGGTGTGTCAGGTCTATGGCCTCAGTCAGGTCCCATCCATTTCCCCCCCTTCTCAGTGGCTTTGATTCTAAGGCTGACAGTGAGGTCTGTGCTGGTCCCCAGGGAAGGGCCCCTGCAAGGGCGCCGCAGGAAGTCAGAGCCAACTGCAGGTCAGGGGGAGGCGGCTGTGCAGCCGGGCTATCTGTGCACCTCGGCGTGGAGGATGTCCAGCGCGTTCCCAATGTTCCTTGAGAAGTTCTGCGGAGAATAGCGATCCTGTAGGAGAGGAAGGGGCTCTTTAGCACATTATCACTGGCTCGCCCTTCAGATCAGACCAGGGCCTTGGGCTTTCCTGGCTCCCCTGCCCCCCGTGTTTCAGCGAGCGCGTGCAGCGGTGAGACCAGGGTTTGTCGTTGGGGCCCAGCCTCCGTAGCCGCCTGGCCGCCCTGGAGCTTGTCCTGGCGGCCTCAGCACCAGGCCTTCTCCGGGGGCTGGAGAGTTCTGGATCCACTTTGTGGCAACAGGCCGGAGGGTCTTGGTTCAGTCACATCACTTCTCCGGGTCCCTATGCAATGGCGTGGGGGACACGTGGCCTCTAAGATCCCCTGCCGCCTGAGCAGTCTCTGACCCCAGGCACGGCCTGCTCTCGTTTTCTCAGGACCTCAACTCTCTGGGGGTTCACCCTCTGACACCCAAGTCACCTAAGGAGACGAGGGGAAGGGAGGTGGGGCCTGTGATGCCCCCCAGCACCCCCTCGCAAGGAGCATATGCACATTTTAACTGTTATTTCTTCCGATCTCTGCGCTTGGAGATCCACATTCTGGAATTTTATTGTGTTCATGTGGAATTTATACATGATTCCAGGGGCAGGTGGGCAAACAGGACAAGGGATTAGTGCATGGTTTAAAAAATGGGAAAGGTGTGTGACAGGGTTGTAGCCTCTCTAAATATGTAGTCAATCTGTCTGCTGAGCAGCTTCAGAGAAGCTGGGTCATATGAAGAAGAGTGTGCCATCAGGATGGGAGGAAGGCGTTTAACAACCTGCAACATGCAGAGGACACAACCTTGCTTGCTGCCAGTGAGGAAGACTTGAAACACTTGCTTATAAATAAAGATCGAGGATCGCAGCCTTCAGTATGGATTAAGACTCGATGTAAAGCAGACCACAATCCTCTTACTGGATCAATAGATAACAATGTGATACGTGGAGAAAAGGAGGAACTTGTCAAGGATTTCATCTTGCTTGGATCCACAATCAATGCCCATGGAAGCAGCCGTCAAGAAATCAGCAGACACATTGCATTAGGTGAATCTGGTGCAATGGATTCAGGGCTTTCACTGTCATCCGTAGCCTTCTACAAACTGGGTGCTCAGAATTTAAAGTTTATATACTTCCCTCCTTTGGATTTGGATTTTATAATTTACATTCCTTGGTTCACACAGACTGATGTGCTTCTTCCATGTGGACTTAGCCCCTCACTTAGATGACTGCTTATCTTTTCTGTTTGCTTTGGTTTTTAATAGTTTTATTGGCTTGTACTTCACATATCTTACAATTTAATTGTTCAGACATATTAAGATGCATGCCATTTTCACCACAAACAATTTTGGAAAAAATTTCTTTTCAGACTCATTATGATTAGCTCCCACTTACCCCTGTCCTGCCTTGCCAAGCCCCTATGCAGTTACTCACTCCAGAGATCTACCTAGTCTGTATTCCACATACAGAAAATCATACGAAAGCAAGCCACATGGTACAAAATCATAGAAAGCAAATAAAAAAACCACAGTAACAACAACGACTAGACAAAACAGAAAGATCTCAAAGAGAAATTATTAAAACAGAAACAACTTTAAAACAGGTCAAAAGGGACATCAAATGACAGGGTATGACGGGTACATTCCAATAGAACTACATTGGCGTAATTGCCTTCACAATGCTCTCTCTCAGATAGCAGGCATATTCACACCCTTCCACTTTGGTCAGATGGGAGTCACCAGAGGTTTAATCCCCGAGGGGACCCTGCAAATGGATTGTGAACTTCCGCGGTCACTCATAGCCTTCTTCTCATCCAGTTTTCACAATTTAAGCGTGTGTGTTAGTCTGGGTACTCTAAAGAAACAAATCCACAGAAACTCATATGCATAAGAGACTTTTATATAAAGGGTAAGTGCACATCAAGAAAACATCCCAACCCAGTGCTGTCCAAGCCCACAAGTCCAACATCAACCCATTAACCATATGTCCGACACCAATCCACGAAGTCTTCCTCCATCTCACAAAACTCACACTATGATGCCAACTGAAGGGGAAAGCTGAATCAGTGAATGTGTAAGCATCTCAGCGCTGGCAGGGGTCCCCACATGGCTGCTCCAGCACCCAGGGCTGCAGCAGGGTAGGTCCATGGGGCTTTTCCTCAGGGATGTCTTGCAGGAAGTGAGCCTTGCTAGCTGAAGCAGGGAACTTGCTAAGGCAGCTGCACCCTGGTGTGACTATCACAAAGCAAGAGACCCGAGAACTCACCCAGCCATTTATCCCTCTGCCCTTCAATTAACCCCACAGGTCTTTATTGGCCAGGTTAGCACAATAAACTAACTCAGCTTGGATACTATTCCCTCCTTTGGATTTTGATTTTATTATTTACAATCCTTGGATCACACAGGCTGTGGACTTAGTTGATGTCTCACTTTGATAGCCATTTGTGTTAGGACAAGCTTTTAAGACCCCAGATGCTATTCTTTCTGATAGCTGGTGTGCATATGTTGTTGCCAAAAATATATCTTGGTTATTGAAATACATACTAAGGAAACAATTACGGATGTGCACAAACTGGCTGTTAATCACAGTGCTATTTAAAATAGGCAAAATAGAATTACTAAGTATCCAATAATAGGAACTATTAAGTAAATTATGGCTTATCTGTATCACAAACTACCAAAGAGTCTTTAAGGAGGCCACATGGTGCCTTCAGGTCAGCAACGGACTATTCACCACAAGGTCAGCAGTTTGAACTCATCAACCCCTCTGTAGGGAAAAGATGAAGTTGCTTACTCCTGTTAAGATTTCGTGACTCAGAAACCCTCTATAGGATTGCTATCAGTTGAGATCTACTTGATGGTAGTGAGGTTTTTTTTTAATACAGCCTAAAAATTATTTTATAGAAATATATATATATAGCTTATGGGGCATTATGTATTCCAAATATACTGATTGAAAAGAAAAGGTGCAAGTTACTAAATAATAGCTGCAGAATGATACTCTTCATAAAAAATACAGCAATTTTGTCTACATCCAAAGGAAATGTAACACAAATATTTGCCAGAAGGTTAACAAGGGCTATTATAGGTTATTTTTTTTTCTCTGTACTTGGATGTGTTCCTTATATGGATTCATATAGAGTACAAGATCTTTTTATTAAAAATGATAATAAGACTAGTATTTCGTTTGCTTAAAGCACCCCAAAGCTATTCTTTCTGAAGCGAACTGAACTGAAGGCCAAAGAAGTCGGGGTGGCCTGGCGCAGGTGGCAAAGGTGGAGTTGCAGGCAGCTCTGGGCTCCACACAGAGACCCCTCAGAGAGCAAAGTAAACTGTGCCCCTCCCTGAGGACAGCGCAGCCCCTGGAGTCTGTGTGAGCGAGGCCTCACTGGGTGGGGGTGGATCGAGGGGCCTCTGGGTGTCTTCCAGTTCTGAGATTCTGGGGTTCCAGGAAGAAGCACCACCCACACAGCAGCAGCCTCAGGCCCGCCTGGCCTACAGCAGAACCTTGGCGCCTGCCTACAAGTACCTGCAGGTGCGGGCTCCAAGGGGGAGATGGAGAGGCCGGGCAATCCCGGAGAAGGGGGCTGACTTGGCCTTGTCATTATCTGCGAAGACAGGCGAGACTTTGCTATATCACCGAGTGCTATCCTGGTTTCTAGAATAACAGTTTCCCTTGCCAGGATCCATCACAAACCCACTCCTGTTTGTCCTGCTGAAATCTCCCCCTGGAAGTGAATGTCTTTTAGGTCTCAGGCCAGTCCGGGCCATACCATGGACGTGAGTGCCAGCCAGCTGCCCTGCACCGTGAGCCAGCCCCCTGGGCTGGGGGAGCTCCTTCCCCAGGAGGGAGTCAAGTTCAGGACCTGGGAGACTTACCGAGTTGTTGCAGAAGACACAGAGGTCGTTGCCTCCTATAAACAAAGTTATTATCTTCCAATCTTCCTGAAAATTGATATCCTGAGAGGAATAGGAAGCAGACAAGTAAGCACTTTGTCCCAGGGTCAAGTAAGTCAGACACAAAGCTCTGAGCACTAGGAGAGATGGGTCCCTACCTGCGGACATTCATACTGTTTCTCTTTGCCTTTAGGGTCCCTAGGGCTTAGGGATTTGGAAAGTGACAAATGGTCCGTTTCTTTTGCTTTTGCAGAATCCCTTGCCTGTATGTGCGCCAGTAGTATGTGTGCCAGTCCTCTGGGGAGAGGGTACTGCTGGGCACTGACTGAGCTTCCTCCCTTC